ATCTTCATCTCCCATTTCCAGCACAAAATGTATTATAAAAGCAAATTAAAGTTACAAACTCAGTCTAATTTGCATCAATGTACACATTATTTAAAATTACTCAGGTTTTTTATGTATATAAAAGTGCAGTGTAAACAGGACTACTTTAATTGATCGTTTTGATTTGATAGTCCAATATCCCACCTTAACATTACATTTTTTTAAACAATATATGAATAATAATAACAAAATAAGTGTAATCAGCCTCACACAGACACGCAGCTGGAATATCCTCCAGGCTGGCCTGCAAATCTGAGTTGGATAAGTTTTTAAGAGGATGGATGTTATCTACTCTTTTTATGTAATGTTCATGCTCTCCTTGTGCCTCACTCCCAGATTAAGATAATGGATGAAGTTATTAGCAACATAAATAAGGAAGACGTGTTTATATGTTTTTGCTTCTTGGACTGTTAGCAGTGCAGCGGTTTCTGCACCTTTTTTCCTGTTTCCTCATCATGTAAATGACACCTTTTATGAGTCTTGTATAAAATTCCTCCCCCATCTGTGAGTCAGTCTGTCAGAGGAAACAGATGCACTTTTTAAAATGTAATATTCAAATCCTGACCTGGACAAAGAGAGCTCTCTTTTAGTGTATTTTAATATTTACTTGAGAGCTGTCTTCATGAACACATCGAATAGAGAATAATTTATCACATGTAAGTTTAAAACATTTAATATTATTACATATTTGTTGTAGATGGGTGATGTGTAATGTACATTTGTGTATTCAAAAAAGAAAAAAAAACATATATTATACATAATTATTACTAATAATAATCAAAGTACCAAGAGATTTCAAGATAAGTAACATTAATGGTTCAATCAGCTTGTTCATGAGCTGCTGAATTATTAAAAAAAACATTAACGTCGATTCTGGTTTATAATGGTTCACATATATTTCATATTCCCTACCATCTTGTCTTTCTTTCTTGGCATAAAGTGAATCGAAGAAGTTCTGTTCAAATCTTTGTTTCCTTGCGCAATAAAATATCACTTTCATCTGTCAGATCAAAGATGGAGTCTGTATCTGCTTATTCTGATGGGTAAGTGGATTGTTTTACCAAATATACTGTTTAAGATTTAAAATGAACACAGATCAATGCTGATTCATTAAACTTTTGCAGTATTTTTTCCAGAATATTCACTGAATATAGATCATTGTTTATCTGACCAAGATTTTTCTATCATCTAATTTTTGTATTATTTTAGGTCAGTGTTGCTTCTTTACATGCCGCCTGTATGAGTACCACTGCACAGCTGCTAACATAGCCGCTAGCGTAGCCTAGCATATTCTCTAAGCTCTTGTTCTGCTCTGTTTTTATTTATTAAGCTAATGCTAAGATTGAATGTTATTGCATGTGAATTGGCATTTAGCGGGGTTGTGTGATTCAGTAGGAGGAGACAGACGTCCTGCTGGCGTGTCAGAGATGTCCCTTCTGCTGGTGTGCAGAAGGGACGTGCTCTCCACGTGCACGTGGGAGCACGTGGAGAAGGCGACTGTGAGTGCTGCTGCCGCGGCCGACTGGTAGCTTTGATCCAGTTTCCCCGCTATCCCCTTGAACTGCCTGGAGGTGGGAGTACTGTTATTTGCACGTGCTTTTTATTTTACTGCTTGGCAACAAGTGAAGCAGCCATATTGTTTTAGGTCCCAACGCACCCGAGCCATGACTCAGGCCTGCAACGAGGGGTTTGCTAGCAGACAGACTGTAGCACTTGAGGTGTGTGTGTGTTGGTGAGAGTGTGTGTGGGCCCACAATATTATTTGATTATTTTGTTTCTGTTGAAGTAGATACCTTACCATTGTTTAACAAACTTTATCTATTTTACTTATTTTCTTTTGTGTTGTTAATTAATCATTCACTAAAGTGGAGTTAACTTTATAATTGACCTGCTTGTGTGTGATTTATTTCCATATAGTGTAGTTTTATTGCATATTTTATACCATAAGCATTAAAAATCAGTAGAAAAGTAACAACAGGAACCCAGGGCCCCTCTCATTAGAACGTGGGACGGGTGTTACATTACATTACTATTCTATGTGCTTCATTTGATCTTAATTATCTACATTATATGTTTTCTTAAGTTCATTCCTAAAGGCAAATCAACTTGAATGTTCTCCATGTCTCCGTGCTTTATCACACCTAATTTGACTGGTCTGATAGTTTAATCAACGTGTGTTTGGGTGATCACAAAAA